ACGGCCCTGGCCCCGAGGCTCCGGGCAGCAGCGCGCCGGGCCTGGTGGGGATGGTGCATGGCTTCCTGCGGCTGGTGCAGCCCAACGACCTGCCCATAGGTGGGTGCCCTGCAGTGGGGAAGCTGGTGGTGGGATGGGGGGGCTGGTGATGGGCTGGGGGGCTGCTCAGAGTGGCAGTGTCTTGGTTGAGCCTGAGCTGGAGTTCCTCTGCTGGTGACTGCTGGGGTTAGGTGGGGTTTAGGGAGGGGAATGGAGTGGGGGCCCTGAGGACTGCCAGCTGTGTCCTGCCCATGTCCCATTACTACTGTGGTGCAGTCTCAGGTGGGCCTTAGCACAGGCTTTGGTGGTAGTGACACCTTGCAGAGTCCTGTCCTGTCCTCTCTCCGGGTGTCTTCATCCCAGGCCCCAACAAACAGTGCAGAGCAAACCCAGAGCTGCTTGCAAGTTTTCATGGTCCTTGTCTCGCTTGCAGCCCTCTGTGCTTGCGTATGACAAGGTGTGCTTAGGCAAGACCCAGCTTGGGACCACCAAGAGCAGCGTGTCCCAGTGCCAGGGCCTGAACAGCAGCCTTGCAGGCACTCCCTGTGCACAACCCTGGTTGCTAGTGCTAGCCCTCCCTCCTTTGCCTCCTAGGGAATGTATTGCTGGCACAGCTCTGCTCTGCTGTAGCTGCAGGTTGGCATGGGTGATGACAGGACACTGCAGCTGCTCAGTGTCCCCAGGGCAAGTGCTGCTCACATAGCTGGTGGGGGAGTTGGCCACTGTGGCTGCTGACACTTGTGCTTCCTCCTTCACTAGGCTCACCAGCAACATGTAGGCAAATGTATGGTTGGCAAACAGCTTCGTGGCCTTGTTCGTGTTGCACAGATAGTGGGGTGCAATCACATAGCACTGTTCTGGCACACGGTTGGCAAACAGCTTTGTGGCCTTGTTCGTGTTGCACAGATAGCGGGGTGCAATCACATAGCACTGTTCTGGCACAAAGTGCTTTGTCTCCACCTCATCCCCAACAGCCCCTCTGGTCCTTCGTGGGCACCTCCTGCCTGTCTCCCCACCCTGCTGCTCCCAGGACTCCCCATTCCTCCCTGTCACTCTCCCGTAGCTCTTTCCTTCCGGGCAGGAGCTGGCAGGTGCCTGATTTTTTCTCCTCACACTTCCTTCTTGGGGCTGGCTGGGTCGCCTTTTGCCCCAACGACACAGACTGTGTCTAGGTGTCCTCCAGAGCTGCCGTGATGGAGCTGGGGAACATCTCGCAGCCCGTGGACGGC